GCTCAAGTCGTGAGTGTCCCCGCCGTCCCCGCCCTGCGTCCGGACCCCATCTCCAGGAGCCCTTCCCCCGCCCTCCCTGGGGCTGGGGAGGGGGACCTCAGCTCGCGGATGGGAGTTGAATGGGGGTCCCCAGATCGCCTCCACGCCTCTGGGGGCCTGCCACCCCCAGTCGTCCCTTGGGGTTAGGGACGGGAGCCCTTCCAGGGTCGCGGGGGCGCCTCTTCTTTGTCGCTGTCAGTGAAGGAATGTGGCGCGGGCTAGGGGGTGGCGGTGGCCTTTTCCCCACCCAGAGTGGGGGTAGGGGCTTCCCTCTCCTCCATGTCTCCTCCTCAGTGTCTCTGGGGGAGGGGGCCTGCCCCAGACGGGGCTGGAAGCACCAACACCGAAGTCCGGACCTCGGTCTCCAGGGTTTCCATCACCCTCTTCCTCCCGTCAGAGCATCTTTCTCCTTCCCCCTCGTTCTCCGGGGACCCCGACCCGTGCGGCCGCAGGGTGGGGGCTGAGACGTCGGGGATCCCTCGTTTGATCCCTATGGTCTCCGCTCTTCCCTCCCCGGGTCTCCAGGACCTAGAAGCCCCGACGCCGCGGTCAGCTTGGAGCGGGGCATCCCTCCCTCTCTCCGTCCATGCACATCTAAAGAGAGCACCTCCTGCCTATCCCCTGGGGACGGTGCCTCGGGAGGGGTGCTGGGAGCGCCCTCAGTCTCCGGGGATTCCCTCCCTCTCCCAGTGCCTGCGCCTCTCCTCTGAACGTTAGCTCCTCTGCGGGCCCAGCGGCTGGGAACTCGTCCGTCTGGGTCCGAGCCCAGCCCCTCCCACCGCTCCCAGCTCCTGGCCATCCCATGCTCTCTCCACCTCTCTCCTCTCCTCTCCCCGGCTCCCTCTCTCCCTTCCTCTTCGGAATCCCGGACTCCCGGGTTCCAGCGCTCCCCCGCCCCCTTTCCCAGGCGGTGACAGCCGGCTTCGAGTGACAGGCTCACGGCCACTCCCGCCCTCTCCCCCGCAGGCGAGCGCGGCACTCCCCTCCCCCTCCTCCGGGGCCTGCTGGAATAGGCGGAGAGCGAGCGCCCGCGGCGTCGCACAAAGGGGCCGGGGCGACCTCCCCCCTCCCCCCCAGCCCCGTGCGCTGGCTGCCTTGACCTTGAGCACACAGTGCTGGGATGGACGTGTGGGTGGGGAACGCCCCCCACTCATTCACTAGGAGGGCTGTGTCTGGTGGCGGGATCAAAGGCCCCAGTCACTTCTGGTTTCTGGAGTGGGTGGATGGGGTTGGGGTGGGAGTTGGGGTAGGGGCCTGGGGGGCGGGAACTTACAGGCACGTGCCTACACTTGAGGTGGCTTTTCTGTGAGCCGAGGGCGGGGAGAGGTGTCTGGGGCTTCGGTCCGTGTGAGCTGGTGGATGATGGTGATACTTCTGCTTCCTTCACCCTAAGTCCCACACCCAGACAGATGACTTTCCTGTGAGGGGCCCCCAAACTGTCCGGGCAGTTGGTGGCTTTCCAGACATCCAGGCCCCTCAGACTGACCAAACCTACACGTTTGCGCTGAGGAGGCGTGGTATCAGCTGCAGGGTCCTGGAGGCCAAGAGCAGGAGCCAGCTGGATGCTGGGCTGGGGGGCCCTGGAGAGGGAGAGTGCCACTCTTAGGTCACCTTCCAAGGGGTCCACAGGGGTGAAGGTGACCCATTTGCTCCCAAAGAATGCTGGAGTCAAATTCCTGTGGGAGCTGGAGCCTGGAGCTGCCTGAATTCACTCTCTCTTGAGCCATTAATTTTCTCCTTCTGAGCCTCAGCTTTACCATCTGTGAATTGGGGAGTCTAACAGTTATTATACCTCATGGGGTGGTGGTGAGGCTTAAAGGACATTAATTGATTGATTGAACCCATGGGCACTTTACCACTGAGATTTGTCCCAGCCCCCCCCCCTTATTTTATTTTATTTTGAGACAGGATCTCACTAAGTTGCTGAGGCTGGCCTTGAACTTGTGATTCTCCTGCCTCAGACTCCCTCCCCACCCCCAGTAACTGGGATTACATGTGCTACTTGCTGAGTAGCAGTGATTACTGATAGTAGTATAAATAGATTAATCAATACTGATTTCTATTATGGGCCAACTCCCACATAGGGTACTGGGACTGGGGCTGGGAGATTGTTTGAGAATTGACTTGTGAGGTCAAGTTCACGGGGAAGTGTATGGGAAAGGGTCTGCGAAGGTGACAGGATAAAGAAAGGGAGGGAGAGTCCTCTACAAGGGGCTGCCTGGACTTCTGGGGAGGTGATGGAGTATCTGTACTGTGGCTCCACTTGGTGGATTGGAAGCTGAAAGCCTGAGGTGGGGCAGGAGTGAGCTGGAGCTTCTGAGGCCTGAGGTGTGGGGAGCAAGTGAAGGGGGATGTCCTGGGGTTCTGGAGGGTGATGGGAGGGGAGAGAGGAAGGTGAAGGTCACCCTCTGAGCCCAGCAGTGTATCTGGGGTGGGTCTTATGGTGAATAGGGTAGGGTGGCTACTAGAGGGACCAGAGACCAGAGTGATCAAGAGGATGCCTATGTCCCTCACTCAATCCTCTTGTCACTTTGGGCTGGAAGTGAATCCAACACCTACTCCCTCATGAGATTGAGGAGGGACAATTCAAGGTCTTACCTGGCTTAGCTGGGGGGCGGGGGGAGTTTGTGGAAATCTACAGGTTATGGTGTGTGTGTGTGTGTGTGTGTGTGTGTGTGTGTGTGTGTGTAAAGACTGGATGAGCTTTGTGTGACTTAGTAGGTCAGCTCATTTTCTGGGGATCCTTTAGGTTAGAGTCTGAATGGGTGATAGTGGGAGAGAAAAGAAGGTTAAGTCTCTTGGGAATGGATGTCTGAGTGTGTGAGTCCTTTCCTCAGTCCCATCTTCAAACAGCTGTTAGGGCCTAAGGGCATGTAAAGTCCCCTTCCTCAGATTCAATTTTAAGGCCAGCCTTAGCAACCTAGCCAGGCCCTCAGTAACTTAGTGAGACTTTATCTCAAAATAGAAAATAAAAAAGGCTGGTGATGTCATTCAGTGGTAAAGTGCCCCTGGGTTAAATTCCAAGTACAAAAAAAAAAAAAGAAAAAAGAAAGAAAGAAAAAAGAAATGGAGAGAACTGTCTTGCACATGGTGGGTGCTCCATGTATTTACTCAACATACGTTTATTGAGCATCTACCATGTGCAGGCATTATTCTTTCTAATAAGGTATCACCATTTTATATCTCAAATTTTTATATCAGATCCTTTCTGTACATCTCAGATCTTCTCTGGGGGAACACATGAATATATTGAGCACTTTTTACATTGCATTTATTTACTTGTTTATTTATGTGTTTATTTTTTGGTGCTGGGGATTGGGCCCAGAGCCCAGAGCTTTCAGATACTGACTGAGCCGCACCCAGGTCTCTTTAAAAACATTTTACCCATGTTTTGTGCAACTGCTCTCTGGTTCCCTCTCTCCCTGCCTGAGCTCTTTCTCTTTTCTTCTCACTTGAATAAATCCTACTCTTTTATGCTAAAACATTTTTTATTCATGTTTATCATTTAATCCTCATGACAGTCCATGAGCACTTTCCTTATTTTATAGATAAGGAAACTGAGGCCCAGAAATGTTGTCCAAGATCCCAAGCCAGCAAGTAGCAGAGCTGGGATCTGAACCCAGAGGTGTGGCTACAGCTCCTAACAAGGACTGCTGCTGTCCGGCCAGCGGCCAGCGGGAGGAGTTGAGCAGGGTGGGGTGGTTGACGGCGGCTGGGGTGAGCGAGGACCCTGGGGCAGGGCAGGCTTCTCTAAGTTGTGGGTTAGGTGCCAGTGAGCCAGGCGTCTGTGCGGGCACCTGCGAGATATTAAAGTGTGTGTGCGCGAGTAGTTGTGTGAGTGCCTGTGAAAGGGCGTGAGTGGGAGTGTGCGGGAGGCTGCGAATGTGTGTGTAAACTGCGATGTGCGGGTGTGCGCGAGGCCAGGTGTGCAGGTGCGAGCGTGTGCACGTGGGACGAGGATGTGTGTGAGTGAGCGTGTGTGAGTGACGCGAGCTCCGCCCTCCCCCCCGGGTTCCGCGGGGCCGGGGTCGAGACTACGGCTCCCAGCATGGCTCGGGCGGGCCCGCCCCGCCGCCGTGATTGGCTGCGGTCCGCATGCTCCCGCCCCCCGGGAATGAATGGATGGGCGGCCTCAGCGCCCGCCCGACCGCTGGGAGGACCGACCCGCCGGGGACCTGCTGGGGGCAGGACCCGGGGAGCAAGATGGCCACGGTCATCCCCAGCCCCCTGAGGTGGTGCGGGCCGGCGGGAGGCGCGGGAGGGCGCGCGCGGGTCTGCGCCTGCTTGTGTGTGTCTGTGTGGCGGCTGGGGGTGGGGCCGATGGGGTGTCAAGGGGGCTGTCACCGTGTGCCGGGCTGTGCGGGGGTGCGAGTGTGTGTGACTATGGGTCTGTGGCAAGAATGGTGTCCGACGCGCTGCCTGGAGGGGTGGAGGACGTGGAGGGACTCTGGGTCCTTTTTGGGAAAGGGGGTCATCGTCCCTGCCCCGCAAACCCTGGGTTTGGGAGAGGGTAAAATGGGCTGGGCATGCCAGGGCCTTGGTAAACTCGAGTGGAGTCCACACTACCTTTGTCTTGGGATGTGGAGTGTATGGAGTATGTATGACTTGTGCTCTTTTTTTTTTTTTTTTGATTTGTGTGTGGTTATGAATATGGTCTCTTTTATTCTACACTACATGTCTTCGGATATTTGGGTCTTTGAGTGTGTGCATATGAACGCCGGGTTTGTCTTGTGTCTTGTGCCTTTGGATATGTAGGTATGTATTTGTAAGTTTTTGTGTGAATATGAGTGGATCTGACTGCTACTGTGTTTTATATGCGTGTATCTGTATGCGTTTGGATATGAATTTTAGATATTGGTTTCTATGTTGTGTATCTTTGTGAATATGTGTGTACCTGTGTGAATCTCTGTGATTTCTTTGTGCCTGGATATCGTATGTGTGATTTGTGTTGTGTCTTTGGATAAGTGTGTAAGTGCATATGTGTGTAATTTATTTCTATAGTCCCTGTCTTTTGGCTTTTGTGTAACTATATGTGTTCTTTGGATGAGTGTGTGTGATGTTCTTGTGGGTCTTTGTGGTGTGGGTGATTTGTTCAGTGTTGTGTATTTGGATATGTGATGTGTATTTGTGCATAAATATTTGTGTAGTTTTCTACACTGTGTAACTTGGATTATTTGTGTTTTTCAGGAGATATTTGTGTGTGCACGTGTGTGAGATTTGTCTGTTTCTCCTTTGTGAGTATTGGGATATGTCTCTCTTTGTGTGTGAATCTCGTGTGACTTTGTGCGGTTTATGTTGTGAGTTTCTATGTGTTCATGTATGGATGGGTCCCCGTGTGGTTTTGTCTGCTTCTATATTATCCACTCCTTAGCTGGAGGCCCGCTGGAGTCTTAGATTGGGGGTCCCCTCCCCCACCCGGGGTCCTGGAGAGATGGGAGGGGAGATTTGAGGTTGCTGGGGTTTGTCTGTCCTCCCAGACCAGCGGGAGCTCAAGGCTGGGGGGCGGGGTACTGGGCTTCCTTGCTCCTGCCCTTGCTGACAGCTGCCCGCCCGCTCCTCGCCCCGTAGCCTAGGCGAGGACTTCTACCGCGAGGCCATCGAGCACTGCCGCAGCTACAACGCGCGCCTGTGCGCCGAGCGCAGCCTGCGCCTGCCTTTCCTCGACTCGCAGACCGGTGTGGCCCAAAACAACTGCTACATCTGGATGGAGAAGACCCACCGCGGCCCCGGTACCTGCTGGGAGGGAGGGGTGGGGCGGAGCCCAGCTTCCGGGCTGCATTCTTACCGCCCCTGTTGCTCTAGGTTTGGCCCCAGGACAGATCTACACCTATCCCGCCCGCTGTTGGAGGAAGAAACGGAGACTCAACATCCTAGAGGACCCCAGACTCCGACCCTGCGAGTACAAGATCGGTGGGTGGAACTGTGTCCTGTGCCTGCTGTGGCCCCATCAATGCCCCCAACCCCCTGATGAGTGTGTGAGAGCATTGCTTTTTATCTTCCTGAGTGTCTGAATAGCCGGAGGTGTCTGCTCCGGAGTCTTGGGTTTTACAGCTTTCTTTGAGTCACTGAACTTCCAACTGTGTCTCCTCTTTTACCTGCCTGTATGCAGGACATAGAGGTGTGTGTTAGGTGTGTCTAAATGTATCAAGTCTCTGACTACATCTCCCTGCCTGGGAGCTGGGATGCATCTGAATTTGGCAGTATTTCCTTCTGTGGGTGCCTCAGAGCATCCAGCTGTTTATCTCCACGTGTGCATGAGTGTGTGTGTGTGTGTTTAGATATGTCAGTGCCTGGCATAACTTTCCATCCACAGCGGAGTGTATCGGTGAGTGTCTGTTTCTAGGTGTTTCCAGGTGTGTCCAACGGTGTATTTCTTCTTGGGCATGTCTGGTGCCTTAGCACAGCCAGCTCTAACAGGGTGTCTGGGCACATCAGGGCATCGGGCTATCTCTTCCTGTGGGGGTCCGGTGCTTCCCCATGTCTGGGGGGATCTCTTCCCATCAGTGCCTTCGTCTGACCTACGTGTGTTTCCTCACGTGCGTGCTGGTCCACAGAGTGTTTGGACTGAGCACTTCTTGAGTGGATCCAGGAAATCAAAGACTCCAGTGGTTCTCTTCCTCTGTCCTGGTGTCTCCAAGTGTCTGGATGTCCTCAGGATTACTGCACTGCTCATCTGTCTGTGTCTCTGCCTGTGTCTGACTGCCTTGCTGGGACTGTCTGTATGTCTGTGTGTTCGTCCATCTGAGTGAGTCTCCCTGGGCATGTTTGTATGTTTCTAGGTGGACTGTGTGTTTCCCATGGAGAGTGAAGTATATCTGTGGGTCTAATTATCTCTTTTTGGGTGTCTCTGGACCTATCCGAGGGTTTGGATCTGTCTTCCTCATGTGTCCAGATATATCTAGGGTCTGGGTGTGTCTGAGTGTATTTGAGAGCCTGGTTGTGGCTCTTCCTTTGGGGGTTGAACTGTTGCAGCTTATCTGTCTGCATCTTCCCTGTGCATGTCTATGTGTATCCTGTTGTAGTTATGGATCTGTTTGGGTGTATCTGAGGGACTGGCTGGGGTCTCTCATGGATGCAGGTATTTGTGAGGGTCTGGGCATGTCCCATGGTCTGTGTTGTGCCTAAGGGTTTCTGTGTACTCGGGATTGGGACCTAAGTGTATTCAGTAGATGTGAGGGTGTGGCTGTGTGTGGTTGTCCCCCGCATCCTTCCCCTAGCTATGTGTTGAATATTTGTGTTGGTTGCTGGTTCTGTGTGGGAAATACCATTGACCCCCAGCCTCCTGGGCAATCTGAGGACAGTCTCTTTACTTGACACCCCTTCTACCTGCCACCCTGTTTCCAGACTGTGAGGCACCCCTGAAGAAGGAAGGTGGCCTTCCAGAAGGGCCAGTCCTCGAGGCTCTGCTGTGTGCTGAGACAGGGGAGAAGAAGGTCGAGCTGAAGGAGGAGGAGACCATTATGGACTGTCAGGTGGGACTGCCCTTTGGGGACCCCAGCTGTAATCTCCTCTCACCCCTGTTCCCTCCTTGGCATGTCATGTTCCTGCTCTGAAACCTCCTCTAGCTCCCTAGGGCCTTTGGGTTCCTTAAATTTCCATCCTCTCAGACCTCCTTGACTTTTGGGAAGAGCCCTGACTTGCCCTCTGACTCCCAGTCTGTAGCAGATCAGGGTCCCCATTCCCTTGACGCTAATTGCCCTTCTCCTGGTGCCCAGAAACAGCAGTTGCTGGAGTTCCCACATGATCTCGAGGTGGAAGACTTGGAGGATGACATTCCCAGGAGGAAGAACAGGGCCAAAGGAAAGGTATCACCCCACAGCTTCTTCTTGCCCTGTCCCTACAGCGACAGATCCCATTTATTGAGTGTGCATGGTGGTCAGCCCCTGCCACAAGTCTGACCTCATTCAATCTCTAGAGCAGTCTGAAGGGGTAGGAGATTTTATACCCGTTTTACAGTTGAGGAAACTGAGGTTCATGTAGATTAGACTGTTTGAAAAGCAGAGATCATGTGGTGGGTTAAAATTGTCTTCATATCTGTACTACAGGTGAGGAAACCCAACTTCAGAGGTCCAAGTCTTCATTACTAGCAAGTTCACAAGTTGCTTGGGGGAGATTTATTATTTATTATTATTATTATTATTAATCATTATGCTGGGGATAGAACCCAGGGCCTCCTGCATGCTAGGCAAGTGTTCTACCACTGAGCTACACCCCAGCCCCATAAAGCAGATTTTTGTATTTTGGCAAGTTGATATTCAAGCACAAATGATGAACATTCTCTAGGGCTCCTCGCTTTCGGGGTCCCTCACTCCTGACCCTTCCCCCAGGCATATGGCATCGGGGGTCTACGGAAACGCCAGGACACCGCTTCCCTGGAGGACCGAGACAAGCCGTATGTCTGTGATAGTGAGTCCTTCTGAAGAGGGGGACAGAGAGAGAGAGAGAGACAGAGACAGAGAGAGATAGAGAGAGAAAGAGAGTGTGTGTGGCCCAGAGACCTCTCCCCTGGCGGCGGTGCCCTCCTGTCCCAGGGTGGGGATGGGGCTCCAGGGAGGGGGCCGGGGTCCTGGGGTGCGGAGGGAGGCCCGCGGAGGCTGACCTGCGCCCCTGCCCTGCAGTCTGTGGGAAGCGGTATAAGAACCGGCCGGGGCTGAGCTACCACTACACCCACACCCACCTGGCCGAGGAGGAGGGGGAGGAGCACGCCGAGCGCCACGCCCTGCCCTTCCACCGGAAAAACAACCACAAACGTGAGCCCCAGGCCCAGGGGTGGTGAGGCCCCGGGTGGGCAGGGGTGGGCAGGGGGCGGGAGGAGCCTGGTGGCTGCCTGGGAGGGGGTGGGGGCCCTCAGACATTTCTGGAAAATCTCCAGCCCGGCGGTTCCCTCCCCCACCGACCATGGGGGATGCTGGCTCTGGCGTTGCCATGGCAACCAACCATCTCTCCCTCGCTCCCGGCCGGGCGTAATATTTCTGGGTCTGATTTATTGTTTCAATTAGAGCTTGGGGAGGGGGTGATAGATGATCCCCTCCCTCCGGGGCCTCCCTTCCTCCTCTCGGCTGGGTTTTGACCGAGGCCAGGGTGGGTGACCTGCAGCCCTGGGCGGCGCCCCGTGCCCACCCCACACTGCGGTGCCCACCCCACCCCGCGGCCCAGCCGGGGAGGGGACTGTGGCCCCAGCTGTCGGCGGGCAGGGCAGCGTCCCCGCAGGCCCAGTGCTCGCCCGGGCGCTTCTCAGTTTTTCTTCGGGTTTCTTTTTCCACCCCAGGCCTTGGCCAGCGGTACCCAACCGGTTTTTGGCTGGGCAGGGCCCGTTCAGGGTGTTGCTGGCGGACGGGTCCTGAGGGGCGCAGGGCTCCTCCTAAGACTGAATTCACTTGCCAGGTTTATTATCCAGTAAAGAGGACACGGGGCTGGGTGCAGCAGCAGAGTCTGCCTAACATGCAGGCCCCTGGGTTCCATCCAGCACCACAAAAGCAAGCAAATAAATAAATAAATATATATGGGCACATCGGTTGCCCAGAGTTGGGGTCCTGATGAGAATTATCTGCCCCCCTCCCCAGGCTTTTTTTTTTTTTAACTACTGCCCACAGATCAGGGTAGCTCCTCTCTCTCCACTTCCCCTATGCCTGGACTGAGGGCCCACCCCTGGGGCTGAGGCTGGGGGCAGGTGGAGCCTTGCCTATGGTGAGAGCCCCTCTCTCTGTCCCCTCCACCCCAGAGTTTTACAAAGAATTGGCCTGGGTCCCCGAGGCACAAAGGAAACACACAGGTAGGGATGCCTCCCTCCACTCCTACTTCTGCAGCCACCTTTGACTGGGTGCCCCCGCCTGCCCCACCTGAACCCCGGGCCTGCTGTCTTTCAGCCAAGAAGGCGCCTGACGGCACCGTCATCCCCAACGGCTACTGTGACTTCTGCCTGGGGGGCTCCAAGAAGACCGGGTGTCCTGAGGACCTCATCTCCTGTGCAGACTGTGGGCGATCAGGTGACACCCCTCACTAGAGTTTTCTGGCAAGGGGGGGGGCATCCAGGAGTCCAGACCTGGAGGATGGGGACAGAGGAGTGAGGTTCCTGAAGTGGACCCAGCCCATCCCTGGGCTGCAGCTAAGCAGAGCCGGGGAGTTGACACAGATGCTGGTGACCACGGGGAACAGTTGGGTCAGTGGAATGGATGGGACAGGGTTGTCGTGGCATTGCACACAGTGGCACATGCTTATCTGGCATGTAGAGCAGTGAGAAGGCTCAAGGCATCGTGGGTAGGGGCTGAGACACGGGAGTGATGGATCGCTACTGCACGGGTCCTGTGGGTAACAGGATGTGTTGCCATTGGACTGTGGTTGACGAATGTGGTTCCCCATGGTGGACTGTGTAATGGGCAGGTTGCTTCACACACTGGGTAATGAGTTGTGGTTGTCATGGTATCCTGGAGAGTGAAGTATGGTTGTCATGGCAATTTGGTAGAATGGAATGTAGTTGTCATGGTGCTGAGGCAGTGGCTGGGGGTGTCAGGCACTGGAGGTAGTGGCTATGGTGTTGGGCACCATGGCCCTGGCTGTAGGCACCAGGGCACTGGACTGCAGGTATTGTTGGCGACAGTTTGGTTTCTGGGGCATCATGTTGTAACGGGTTTTGGCTGTGGAACAAGGTATGGGACCTGTTGTGGAAGGTGGTTGCCATGGCGTCGTGGCTGGGAGAGCGTGGTTGCCATGTCGCTGTGGTTAGCCGGCTGGGCTGGCCACTGTGCTGTGGGTAATGGAATGTGGCTTCTCAGCACTGTGGTTAACAGATTGTGGTTGCCACGGTGTTGTGGGTGGTAGAAAGTGGTTGCCACAGCACTGCGGGTAATGGAATGCGGTTGCCATGGTATTCTGGGGAGCAGAGTGCGGTTGCTGTGGTGGCTGGGCAGGAGGCTGTGGGGGCCAAGGTCCTGCTGGTTGTGTGTGGCAGGTCCCCAGCAGGGTGTGCAGGGCTGGGGTCAGGCTGTGGACCACTGAGGCTCTTCTTGGTCTTATGATCCAGGGGTGGGGTCAGAGCCATTTTCCCTACAGGGGTCAGTAGCCACCGGGATCACAGTGACTCCCTAACCACACATTCCTGCCCCTCGGCCCCCAGGACACCCCTCGTGTTTACAGTTCACGGTGAACATGACAGCGGCTGTGCGGACCTACCGCTGGCAGTGCATCGAGTGCAAGTCCTGCAGCCTGTGTGGCACCTCGGAGAACGACGTGAGTGCCTGCCGCCTCCAGGGGACCTACCCCAGCCACCCTCCCTCCCCACCTGGCCCCTTCACTTTGCCTGTGGAGCCGGAAGCCTTTCCCACAGCCGCTCCTGGGGAACACCAGTAACGCGCATCATTGTCATTGTTAGTGTCCATTAACTGAGCCCGGCACTTTATACTCCTCATCTCTGCCACCTCCCAACCACCCGCGAGGTAGGTGCTCTTGTTCCCACTTGACGGAGCAGAAGCCAGTTCAGAGAGGGATGTGGCCTGAGGTCACCCGGGATGCGAACCACATCTGGCTCCCAGAGCTGGTATCAGGGCGTCTTAGCGTCTTCCTCAGTCTGCGAGGCCCAGAGACCTCGACCTGAGCTCCGTTCCCAGGGGTGTCTGCAGGCCCCAGAGCCTGCTCTCGGGAAGGGGCCACCTCCCCCAGCCCCTTCCACCTCGCCCCTGCCCCAGCCCCCCACCCCGGTTTCTGGTGCCCGTGCCCCCAGGGTGCCAGCTGGGCGGGTCTCACCCCCCAGGACCAGCTGCTGTTTTGTGATGACTGCGATCGGGGTTACCACATGTACTGCCTGAGCCCCCCCATGGCGGAGCCCCCAGAAGGTGAGAGAAGGGACGACGTGGGGGTGGGTGGGCTGGAAAACTGCACCTGCTGGAGACCCTCTGGGTGGGAAGGGGCAGGCTGCCCTCCCGCAGCACTGTGCCTAACTCGGCCCTTGGCCACCCGCCCGCCCCGCAGGGAGCTGGAGTTGTCACCTCTGCCTTCGGCACCTGAAAGAAAAGGCCTCTGCCTACATCACCCTCACCTAGGCCTGGCTCTGGTTCTCCGGACTCCAGGGTGGTGCTTGCCCACCTGCCTCTCGCCCCACCCTGCGCCCCAGTGTGAGGGGAGAGGGTGACGCCCCGGGGCTGGGCCGCCCGTCCCCTGCCAGTGAGATGCTGGCCTGTCCCCTGCCAGTGAGATGCTGGCCCTGTGGGTGGGTGGCCCCTGCCCCTCCCCTCCAATCCCTTGGCAAATGGGCACCAGGGGCTTCTGCTCCCCTCAAAGCCATACCCCGCCTCTGGGCGGGCACGAGGGGTAGTGATGCCAGCCAGGGGCATGGACAGAGCCTTTTTCTAAAGAAAAAGACAAAAACTAAAAAAAAAAAAAAAAGAAAAAAAGGAAAAAGAAAAAAAGAAATTAATATATACGAAGAGTCCTGTGAGGCCTGGCTGGGTGGAAGGGCACTGCCGAGCGTCCACTGGGCACCCTTCTAGGCCAGCTTCCTGCCTGGTGCCCCACCCCCACTTCTGGAGTCGCAGCTGTCCCACCTCCCCACCTACGGTGGGCACCGTTCCCCTTGTGCCCAGGGTGGGTGGGCATGGTGTCCACCCTCGCCCCCTCCTGGTGCCCACCGTGGATACTGCATGATGTGAACCATGGTTTTGAACTCTGTTCCTGCCCCTCCCTGACAGCCCCACCCCGTGCCCACTGGTGCCAGCCGTGCCATAGGCACCGTGGCGCGAGGCGGCCCTACCCAGCGCCCGCTGGGACGAGAAGCACAGACCTGCAAAGGACTCGTTTTTTTTCCTCCTTCCTGCTGCCCCCCGCCGACCCTGCTGGCCATTTTGGGGGCAGCAAGGTGGCGCAGTTGTTTCTTGTGGTTGTGTGTGTTTGTTGTTCGGGTTTAAAAAAGGGAAATTGAGACTGCAGGTGGGGGTGGGTCTGGGGGTCCCCCCAGTCCAGGAGAACCCTCCCTGTACCCGAGTCTCCTTCATTGCCTGCCTCTGCTGTGAAATACCTTGTTCTGTGTATTAAACTGGCCTGACCCCTCTGCCCACCACTGCCTCCTTCTCCAGCTTGGTTTGGGGCGTCACCAAGAAGGGGAGCTGGGGCCTCCTTGGGGGAGAAGCAACTGCAGGGCCTCTACCTCCACCACCACCTCCTCCCCTGCACCCCGCCTCCCTCTGGCTTTGTCCCAGCTCCTCCCAGCCTTGCCGGAAAGGAGAAGAGGGGGATGGGGCGGAGGGGGCTCCCGCCCAGCCAGCTGTGGTTGCCTTGGCAACGGACTGCTGCAGCTGCAGCGGGAGGCAGGCGGGAGTGAGGATGGGGGAAGGGAGGGATGGGAGCCTGGCGGTCCCTCCCAGGCCAGAGTGGGGAGTGGGGGTGTCGGGAGACACCTCAGTCCCACTGTCCTAGATATGGGCAAAGAGGTGGGGAAGGCGAGAAGGCAGGTGGGAGGGGAGGCCGGAGGAGGCATCTAGACCCAGGGACTAGAGGAGAAAGACTGGGGTGGGGTAGGTAGAGGGAGAAAGAGGTTGAGAGTCACAAATTTATTGAGAGAAACAGAAGAGGACAGAACAGGACCGAGAGATGAGGAGAAAGCCACAGGAATTAGGGAAGAGAGCCCCGAGAGAACAGAGATTTAGTGGAAGAGGAAATAATAGTAATAAAAACAGCAGCCACGTTGGGAGACAGGCGGGGTCTGGAGGGAGAGGACCCAGGAGTGAGGGACGTCAGGGCGGCCGCGCCCCAGGAGAGGGGGGTGGGCCCACATGGGGACAGCAAAGTCCCTGGACAAGACAGCGGTGTGGACCTCTGGGGGAGGGACAGACCCAGAATCCAGGGGAAGAGCACAGAAACCTGGAGATGGGTAGAGGTGTGGAGGCAGTTCAGAGCCTGGCCAGAGGCTTGGCTGGAGTGGTGGTCAGTGAGTGGGGGGCCAGGACGAAAGCTGGGGCGGGCGGGGTGCAGCTGAGGCGCTCTAGGGGCTGGCCTTGTGTTTGGGTTGCGGGGTGCTGGGAGCTGCTGGCGTCTGCTGGCTCCAGGGGAAGATGTGAGAACAGTTTGTTCCAGGTCCCACCCCCCCGCTTGGCCCCTGCTGGTGGGGGGAGGGCAGCAAGGCCTAAGGATGGGGCCTGGAAGAGGGTGGAGAAAGGGAGAAGTCGACTCTAGACTGCTTAGTGGGAATGGCTGCTCTCCCTTCCACCTACTCCCCACACTTTTGGAAAAATATACTTGGGGGGAGGGGCCTGAGTCGGAGAAGTATGGGTTTTGAGATGACAGGTAAGTGGGCGGCGAGGAGGGGTGCACAGACCCCGCCACATGGCCAGCCCCTTCCAGAGGCTTTGTGAAACCCACAGGAGCAGAGCTAAGACTTCCCACATAGGCTGGGCCTTGGATCTTCACATGGAATTCCCAGAACTGAAAATCAGTTTGTCCAAATTCCCACCCAACTTCAACAGATGCAGATCTGGGACCATAAGTTCAAGTCCCCTCCTCAGCTAGAAGGGTCCCAAAGGAAGGCCTTGCTCTGGCTGAGGTTGCAGGGGTGTGTTGTCTTTCTCACATGGAGGGAAGGGAAGCCATGTTTTGCCTCCCCTTTGCAGGAAGAAGGGGCAGCCTTGACCCCGCGCTGCCCACTAGACGGCGGGCAGAGGGAGACCCCTCCACCAGCAGAGAAGGGCTGTGGCTGTGGCAGGAGATGCAAATAACCTCAGCCACTGAGTCAGACTCTCAAGATAAAAATTAAAGGGGGCTGGGGATGTGGCTCAGTGGTAAAGCACCTCTGGGTTCAACCCCCCAATACCAAAAAAAGAAAAAAAAAAAAAGCAAATGAGCTGGCACTGGGATGTGCCATCTGCCTAAAGAGGCGGAGTCTAGCCACAGAAGACTAGGCACCAAAAGGAAATGTGTCCCCTCCCCCTGCCCCCAATATTTGGAATTGAACCCAGGGGCGCTTCACCCCTAGCCTTCTTGGTTTTGAGACAAGGTCTGGCTAAGGTGCCAGGCTGGCTTCAAACTCAGTCTTCCTGCCTCAGCCTCCCAAGTCTCTGGGATTACAGTGGGGTGCCACCAGGCCCAGCAGAATCTCGCTCTTTTAAATTTGGGGTCATTTCACATTCTGAGGTTGGCTTCCGGCAGGAGGGGGCTGATGTGGACCGGGCGGCCGCCCAGCTGTGAACACACAAGCCATTTCTATGAAACATTTATTTCCTTTGAAACCTCCAGAAACATGCCAGAAAATCTCAAGACAGGGATGGGAGGGGGGAAAGACAATAAAGAATAATTAACCAAATGAATCAAATCAACATGAAAAAAAGCCTACTATCTCAGCCATCAGATAGAACACCAACCTCAAATTAAATAGATTTGTTGTGCAGAAATTCTTTAAAAATAACAAAATAAAACCAAAATCATAGTTTACACTTGTCAGTGTGCATGATCAGGTCCCCAAAATGATCGAATGATCTGAAGATATGAGAAAAAAAAACAGGGTCTGAGGAGGGGGGCTGGGGCGGGGGCCTGGAGAACCCCCGAGAAGGGGACCAGGGAAGGAGACATCACAGTAGTTGGCCAGGGCTGGGGAGGGCTGCTGGGCAGGCCTGGCCTTGGCAGGCTGGCCTCTCGCCACCGCTGGGAGAGGAGGTGGCAGGCTGAGGTTTTACTCTCAAGACTGGGGGATGCTGGGGGCCAGAGGCAGATCATAGGGAGACGCAATGAACACCCTCTTCTCCGGCCCCGGCCCCTCCAGCCTGGCACCTCCCTGAGTGCCTGATCTATGCAGTCCCAGAAACGCCCATCTGCCCGGGTTCCTGGGCCTGAAGAGAACCTGGGGGATCTCTGGACAAGTGCCGGCTGCCTGGCCCGGGCTCTGAGCCCAGCCCACGCTGCCAACTCCTTCCTGCCTGGTGCTTCCCAGAAAGGGAAGCCGCCTTCCCGCCACCCTGACTGTCCCTCTGGGTCCTCTTGCTGACCCCCTGCCCATGGGGGACATGCCTCGATCCTCAGCTTGAGGTTGGGGGAATCCACAGGCTGTGGCCATCCAGACTTGTTCTGGCGCAACTCTACATGAAAAAATAAATATATATATATATATATATATTTTTTGTTTTTAAAGGAAAAAAAAAGGAACTCGTGTTTCCTGGGTGAACAGCGTAGTACCACACTGGCCTGGCTGCCCGCCAGCTGCCCCTTATTGCCTTTAGAACAGCGTCTCTGGGGTTCGCACTGCGAGTGCTCCCCGGGGAGCACAGTGAGTGTGTCTGGGTGGCCGTCGCTGGGGGCCTGCAAGATGGGCTTGCGAGGGAAAAGGAAACCAGACAGGAGATGAAGGCTGTTGTTGTCCAGCCCTGTCCCAAGGCTCCCAGGGTGCCTTCTGGAGCCCAGAGGCGGCCTGGCTGCTGGTCAGGGCTTGGTCGTGCTGGGAGGAGAGAGAGCCGGGCGGTCTGGCCCGGCCAGGTCAGTAGCTCAAAGGTGGAGGGACCTGGGGGACCCAAGCCCAGGCATGTGGCCTCTGGTGGGAGAGGAACTGATAGAAAAAGATCGTATAAATTGTCCTGTTTGTACAAATAGTTTTTCTCTCAAAGAAGTGGCCTCGGGATGCTGGGATTCTTCTCTCCATCCTAGGGCCTCCAAGAAAATAATTTAAGCTCTATGAAAGTGCTCCTGGCTGCTTGTGGAAGGAGGGGGCTGGGAAGGGATGACATCCATGCTTTTTGGAGCTAGTACACTGGGGACCAAAGGGTCCTAGTCTGTCGCCCTGAGGGCACTTGCTTCTTTGGGGTGTGGGGGAAAAGACTCATTTCACGCCATATTTTTTCATGCAGGGGCTCTGCCCACGAGCCAGGCTGCTGGGTGCAGTGAAGAACCCTGGCGTGTGGGTCCTGGGCGCTGTGGAGGCTGGATGCTGACCTCTGCAGCTCCTCTCGCTTTCCCACAGCCGGGTCCTAGGCAGAGGCTGGGTGACCCCAGGGACACAGGGGTCAGTGCAGAGGCCTGAGACCAGGAGGTGACCTGACTCACAGCCTGGGGAGGCTCCCGCAGGCCCCACTGCTAGCTGGGGTTTCTGAGTCCACGTGGAGAGCTGCGGGGGCAGTAGGTACCAGGCCTGGCTAAGTGACCTGTCATGCCGGCCACCAGGGGCCTACAGAAAGAGAGAGGAAGACAGGAGCCCACGGCCTGCCTGCAGGCAAGGTGCCAGGGCCTGGTGACCTCTCGGCCTCAGAGCTCCTTCTTCTCCCTGCAGAAAAGCTCGGCGAACTTGCGCAGCTGCTCGCTGGCGGCCTGCGACTCCTCCTGCAGCCGCTGGTTGTTCTGCCGCAGGCTGGCCACCTCCGACTGCAGCACCACCTTGTCCTGCTTCTCCTGTGAGGGGGGAGGGCTGGGCATCAGGCTGGTGGCCTTGGTAGCCCCCAGAACAGCCCGTGACCCTGGGGATCTGTGAGCCCAGGCCAGAACCAGTTGCAGGGGTTCAAATCGCAGCTCTGCTTCCACAGCTGAGTAACTCTGGCCCGTCACATCCTGTCTGTGGGTCCCGTTCCCTCAACTCTGACAGGGTGGCTCCGAGGGGTCCCTGAGGTATGCAGAGGTCCAGAACATAGCCTGCCTGGGAGTAACTGACGAGCACTGCGATACTGTCATCACCTCATCCTACCCCCACCCAAGGGCCTGGGGACAGTCATTATCCTCATTTTCCTGGAAGATGGAACCAAGCCTCACATAGCGAGGCAGCCTGAGCAGGCCCTATCACCTATTCTAAGAGGCTCTTTGGGGTGACAGAACACTGGCTAAGCCAGTGACTTGTTTAAGGTCACATAGTACTAAGGGTGGGGCAGGGTTTGAACCTGGGCCGCTGTGATTCCTGGGCTGGAGGAGTACATTGTGCTCTACTTCTTTTATATATATATATATATATATATATTTAATTTTTATTTATTTACTTATTTTTATGTGGTGCTGAGGATCGAACCCATAGTCTCATGCATGTGAGGCAAGCACTCTACCACTGAGCTACAACCTCAGCCCCTTATGCTCTGCTTTTTAATTTTGACCTCAAAGT